GATTCGACCGGGATTCCATGGGCTTACGGTGACGAGGAGTCGAATCCTTTGACCATTCACCCGGGTTGACACGCGAGATTGTTGGGACGGACCGCCGGGTCTCGCGAGTTCCGTACACCGTCCGGTGTTACTCGTCGTTAGCTAGACCGTTAGTCTGTCTAGCTATCATAAGGGTCTGACTAGTAGGGCACCGTTGCGGGGCTGGAAATAAGCCTTGCAGCGCAAGAGAAAGACCAACGAAACTGGGAGGGGCCAGGATGAGGTAGCTGATTTGCCCGTTCTCTTAAAACCCGATCAGGGAGCGGGGAGTGGAGCGAGCTGGAGGCAATCATCAATCATGGATCGAGGATTTTCATGACACGCGCGAAGGATGGGCAAAAATGGGCAAAGGGTGGAGTCCGCAAAAATTGCTGGAAAGGGTTTAGCGGCAGGAAGCGGTGTGGGACCCGCGCAAATGACTCAGCAGGATCGGGGGATGATCTCATTTCTCTCCCTCTGTCCCTCTCCGTCTCTCTCTGTCTGCCTCTCTTCCTTTGTCTCGCTAGTCGGATTGCCTTCCATTCCGTCACTCTCCTTCCGGTCTGTCATTGCTTTTTTCCCCCCTCGGGCGCAAATGCGGGCAATCCCTGTTTGGCAGTTTGCCCAACCAGCTCTGATGATTGTCCCCGCCCTTACCATTTCTAGTAGCCGCTGCTGTTCCACCGCTGGCTGTGTTGGTTCACCCTGCCTCCAATTCTCCGCGCTAAACGGGTCGGGTCCCTTCGGCTGTTCGAAATCTGGGGGCCAAAATTCCCTTGTCCATGACTTGGTCGGCCTGAGCTAACACTGCCTGTTTGCGGCTGACGATGACCCCCCCTCCCCTTGGGCCCTTGGGCAATCGCCAAAATGCGCCCACGAGGTGCACTCTGGCACTGTTGATGGACTGGTGAGGCTCCCCCAGAGATTAGAGGACTGCCTGCGGACCAATAACCTCCGTCAACACCCTGGCTGAGTGTCTTCCCACGAGACAAGCCCATGCAACGGGTCAAGCCATCGCTAGTCCAAACGTAAATCATGGTTCCAATCGATGCTCCAGTAATTTAAAATAAACAAAGAAAGAAAGGGGTGGGGGGGTGGATGAATGGATCTGAGTGGCCGAGCCACGGACCATGGCCGGACTGCGCCAGATGGACATTTGCCCACTGCTGCAGGGGCTTCTCGACTTCCTTCCAGTCCATCTGCATGACGAATCACCGTCGTTCATCTCCTTCTCCGCCTAATTTTTTTGAGGCTCAACACAATACCTATTCTATGATCGTCGTACTGTTGTCCCGCTTAGGGTGCTTTGGTACTGGCTTCGCCCCGTGGATTCTCGACCGCGCGCGCATATATACTGGAATGGCCCCAGCTGGGGGGGTACCGGAAAAAAAAAAAAAAAAGGAAAAGTTCAGCATCGCGCAGCTCATGCTATTCTTGACTCATTATTCTCCTGCCTTCGACAGCACGTAGGCAGATTTACTACTGACAACCATCCTACTGCTGCGCCATGATGAATCAATTCCCACCATTCCCTGAACCCCAGTCTCACCTCTCAGCCCCGGATCACCTCGCCATGCAGCAAGATTATCAGCTCTACCCTTCGGACTCGGAGGCCTACGTGACTTCGGTCGCTCAGCACTCGATGATGGGAGATCAATCCCAGGCTCCGTACAAAAATCTTTATATGCTCTCGCCAGCCCCATGGCCACAGAGTGCAGTCCGCCCGGATCAAGTCAGCTCTCTTCCCATGGATATGGCTTACCATCCAGCCATCACCGACCTCTCGCCATCGACCTGGGGCGGCAACGCTTCGACTATCTCCGGACCCGAGAGCCCTCTGAGCAGTAACAGCAGCTGGGTCAATGCCGACTGCTACATGTCTCCGCCCTACAGTTGCGACGATTCCTTGCTCCCGCCGCAGGAGTACTGGGATTCGCCTTCCCCGAGTGCCTCCGCCGACTTCGATCGCTCCGTGGCCCCGTCAGAGGTAGTACAACACTACCCCGACCCGGAGCCGATTGTTGGCTCGGGTTACGCGCCGCAACCCATTATCGGCAGCTTTTCGCTGCCACTAAATAATCCGGACGCATTCGCCGACGCGTCGCCCTCACCGTCCTTGTCTGCTACTTTCCAAGAACCCCCCGCTGCCTCCTCGCACGTTATGACCGTGCCATCTCAGACCTCTGCCCCTAAGAACCCCAAGACCAAGTCGTCGCACCGCGTGACCAAGCGCTCACCTGCGAAGAAGCCATCCTCGAAGACGGGGCCTACATCCGCGCCCCGCTGCACCTCCAAATCCAAGCCCAATGGAAAGAAGGCTTCCGAGGCCTCCAATCGACTATTCGTATGCAGTTTTTCGCAATACGGGTGCCCGAGCACCTTTGTTTCGAAGAACGAGTGGAAGCGACATGTAGCGTCGCAGCATGTTCAACTAGGGTTCTACCGATGCGACGTGGGACGCTGCAACCTGAATAACCTCAGCGGAGACAACCACCAGGTTTCCGAAGACGGCGCTTCCTGTGACGAGGTCCGCCTGGTCAATGACTTCAACCGCAAGGACCTCTTCACGCAGCACCAGCGTCGTATGCACGCGCCTTGGGTGAAGCGGAATCGCAAACAGCCGGTCACCGAAGAGGAGCGGCATGAGTTCGAGCTTACCCTCGACATGGTCCGCGCTCGCTGTTGGCACGAACAACGTACTGCGCCCCTCCGCAGCCAGTGTGGATTCTGCGGTCAGGAGTTCGCCGGGCCTCGCAGCTGGAACGAGCGCATGGAGCACGTTGGCCGACATTACGAGAAACGCGACGTCTCTTTGGACGCCGAGGCCGAAGACCCGGCCCTGCGCGACTGGGCCATTGAATCTGGCGTCGTCCGCTTGGCAGAGGGTCAATGGAAATTGGCTTCTCTCGTGGACAAATAAACTCATTATTTCCTTTTGTTTTCCTCCTTGCCCCGTTTCAGCTCTTTCTTCCATCCCGATGATTTAATTATCTCTCCCATCTCATTCTGCCCGCTTTGCATCCCCAATGATTCTGACGTTCCCGAGTGGTGTCCGTTCCGTTGGTTTACGATTGATGACCGATATCCTGTATTTCTGATCTTCTGGAGCTTACTTTTACGGTCTGTTCATATGTTTTTAATCACATTTTTCTTTCCTTGTTTGTTTGGACTTTGATCTTCTGCGCGAAATACCCAAGAGCAAGGAATGGTTTGAGGGAATGATAGATGAACCCGGTTTTGTTTTGTTCTTTCTCGGATTCGCAGGGCTGGTTATCTTTATTTCTTGCTTCTCCAATTCAAGCTGTGAAATTGAAATTGATTAAACTTCTGCAACACTCTATAAGACTAAGCAAGCAATTTAACACTCCACCATCGACATTCTTCACACTTCATGCATTATGCACGAAGCACGCTACACATCGTCACCGCTAGACCTGTCTATTCCTGTCAGATTCTTCACTCGTAATTTTTGACTTGAAGAATACCCCACCCAACCACCTTAATCGAACCCACAACCTGCACAACATAATCTGTCAGTGTCAGCTGTCAACTGTCAAGCCTCAGTAATCGACACTAACTACTAAGTAGATACTAACGAAGGCCCGAACCGCATTGTACTACATCGATACCTCTCCACAGCGGGCCTAACGATCTCATCTCATCTGTGTGATCGGATCAGATCTCGATCCAGTCGGGGTCGACCAGACCCAACTCAATTTAACTAAAGGTCTAGATTCTAGACTCTAGATCAAGATCTCCACAAGTTTGCACGCTACTAACTACCCATTAACCAACCAACTAACTCGCTATGGAGTAGCTAGCTAACCATGTGGACAACCAGACGACTGAACGACCGAACGACTGGACATTAAACCTCCGATCTAAGTGGGAGAGTACCCTTACACAGTAGACTATAATCATATGTAATATGTGCGTAACTACCTAGTTATAGTCTGGCCTGATTATAGATGGAGCCGCAAGGCTGCAGCCTCGTCCCGGGCCTGACGATCTGTGGTTACCTAGTTAGGCGGGCTGGTGTGGGTTTGTTTAGTTCGTTATGGGGATTAGTCATGGGATAAATACGCCTCTTGATGTAGTACGTTAGGGAGGTAGGTAGAGCTGAAAGATGGCTATATTTGGTGGTGTTTGAGAATGGTATTGGTTGTGTTTCATCCGGACGGGGTATATATGAGGTGGGTACGTAGGGCTAGGGGTGTTGTACCTATATGTCAGATTTCGGATGAAGCTGAAAGTCGAACGATGGAGAGTCAGACGGAGGGGCTTGAAACGAAGGATTCTTTAATTCTTTGTCGGTCTATTTTAAGAGTTCATAAATCAGCCTCGCTTTTGATGTATATACGAGGATATCATAGAAAGGCAAGCACGGTACATACTATGTGGGTATGTATGCCATCGACCTACTAGACTCGATAGAGAGCGGAAATTATGAAACAAATGCACTACATCTTTGAGAATACTTAAAGCAGAGTACTCCTGAAGACACAATTTAGCTGATGATGATGTATATATTTGGGTGCCTGAGGTGTCTCTCCGCGGTCACTTTTCTTTCTCCCTACACCACACCACTATGAATACTTCCCCGCATCTCGAACGCCAACAAACAATTTCGAAAGCGGAGATTCTCCCGCAACAAGAAGTCATGCATGAGACATGCGATGAATAAGAGGCAGGACTTGATCGAGGTATACAAATTCAGGACCGCTGATTGGTCCAGTACGGTCCGATGCCGGATGGGCGTGTTGACTGTTACATCACCGATCTTCTGCACTCCTCACTGCTCCTCACAACACTGACCGTCTGATACTGCACCGTGAATAACCGATCACCAGCACAGGGTCCGATATAGGAGGGTCAGGTCGAGGATATCTCAAGTCGGTTTACTACGTATAGATCTATTCCATACCAGAGAGCCACTTCTACATCTATTGAACCTACCAGACCATATCAATACCAGCTACAACATGTCTACCCCCTACCCCTGGACCTTTCAGACCAACCAGCTCGCATCGGGCATCAACACGGGCACAACCCAAGACCTCTCGATCACAATCCCGCAAGTCCGGGGCTCGATTCCCTCCTTCCAGGCGTCCCGACTGCGATCCATGATGCAAGAGGCGCATGCGGACCCGAGCAAGATCGTAGCTCACGTCTGTAGCTACGACGCCCTGAGCTCACGACTCTGTCAGGAAGCTGGCTTCCCGATCGTCTTCCTCGCTGGGTACGCAATGTCGTCGGCCTTCGGGCTGCCCGATGCAGGATACATTGCGTTCCAGGAGGTCGCGGGGAAGATCCAGGAGGTGGTTCGGGAGACGTCGGTTCCTGTCCTGGTGGATGGGGACACGGGGTATGGAGGTCCGATGAATGTGAGGAGGACGGTTCAAGGGTATGTATATGCATAGATGCATGCAGACAGGATATATGACAGTTGTGGGTCATCAGCTGCTAATCATCGAAATAGGTTCGCCTTAGCCGGCGCAGCGGGGGTCATGATCGAGGACCAAACCTGGCCGAAGCGTAAGGATTCAATCCAGCCTCTCCTTTCCTCGCCAACCAGAATGCCCTGCTAACAAAGCACTCAGGCTGCGGACACACCAAGGGTAAAGCCGTCGTCTCCCGCGACGAGGCCTACGCGCGGTGGCAAGCCGCCGTGGACGCGCGCAACGAAGGAACCGACATCTGGATCCTCGCGCGCACCGACAGCTACATGCACGGGTACGAGGAGGCGTTGACGCGCGCGCGTAAGGCGATCGAAATCGGCGTGGACGCGGTCTTCGTCGAGGCGCTCCCCGACCGGGCCGCGATGGCGCAGATGCGCTCCGACCTGGACTTCACTATGCTAGCGAATATCATCGAGGGCGGGAAGACGGAGAATCTGTCGGCGAAGGAACTGGGCGAGCTGGGATTCGCGGCCGTGGCGTACCCGTGGACGTTGGTGGCCGCGAAGCTGAAGGGTATTCGGGAGGCGTTGGAGGGCGTCAAGGGGTCTTTGTTGACTGGGGGGCCGCCAACAATTCTGTCGTATGGGGAGGTCTGTGAGGGGGTGGGGTTTAATAAGTATTATGAGTTGGAGGAGAGGTATCAGTATGAAGGGTCAGTGACGGGGACGAAGGGGTATCAGTTTGAGTAACTGGCTGGAGGTCAATTAGTAGTATCTCTAATTAGAGATCCCAGACATTTGAATTGAATCTCGAGGGCATAGGCATCCAAATGAGCGTGATCAGAGTAGTGTACAAAGGAAGATAAACAAATCCATGCGCAAGAAGACGATATAGATCTGCTGACTCAGGCGAGGGGCATCTCACGTGACCATGAGTCACGAATGCGGGGCGAAGACGAGCAGAGAATTGAAGGCACGAGAGAAGCTTATCGCACAACTCCAAAGTCGGCTTTACGTTCTTCCCTGGGTTTTCGCACTTCTGCTTCACGTTTCCAACCACCCCATCGAAGCCCCTCCCTTCTCTGGTCTTACGTCCATTCACTCCCCCGGATCAAAATGGCCGAAGAATCGCAAAAGTCAAAAGCTCCGGTGCTCCCCCAGCCTGGACAGCGCAACATCCTTATCACCAGCGCTCTGCCCTACGTGAACAATGTCCCGCATCTTGGAAATCTTATAGGTTCGGTGCTGTCGGCCGATGTCTTTGCCAGATACTGCCGAGGCCGTGGTCTCAATACGCTCTATGTCTGCGGTAAGTTGCTTGCCTTGTCGGCCTTGATCTAAATTTGATATATCTTCGCTTTCTCTGTTTGAAGAAAGAAATCGAGCTAATATTATGCTTTCTACCAGGTACCGATGAGTACGGCACGACGTCCGAGGCCAAGGCCTTGCAGGAAAAGATGACCCCGAAGCAGCTTTGCGACAAGTACTATGAGATCCATGCCGGTGTCTACAAGTGGTTCAACATTGGCTTCGATATCTTCGGCCGCACGACGACCGACCTCCAGACCGAGATCACCCACGACATCTTCCTCAAGCTCCACAAGAACGGCTTCCTGTCCGAGAGCATGACGACGCAGCTCTACTGCGAGGAGCACAAGTCCTTCCTGGCGGACCGTTTCATTCAGGGTGAATGCCCCAACTGCAAGTACCCCGAAGCCTACGGTGACCAGTGCGATCTCTGCGGTCAGCTGCTGGATCCCTTGGACCTGAAGAATCCTCGTTGCAAGGTCGACGGCGCCACTCCCGTCCCCAAGGACACGAAACACACCTTCTTGGACCTGGACAAGCTCCAGCCCGAAATCGAATCGTTTATCAAGGAGTCTACGGTGAAGGGTGGATGGTCGAATAACGGCAAAGATATCACCGCCGCTTGGTTAAAGGAGGGCCTGAAGCCTCGAAGCATCACCCGCGATATCCAATGGGGTACCTCGGTCCCTCTGCCCGGTTACGAGGAGAAGGTGATCTACTCGTGGTTCGATGCCTGTATCGGGTATCCCTCCATCACCGCCAACTACACCGATCAGTGGGAGAAGTGGTGGCGCAACCCCGACGACGTCCAGCTCTACCAGTTCATTGGAAAGGACAACGTTGCCTACCACTCCGTCATGTTCCCCGGTACTCAGATCGGCACCCGGGATCAGTGGACCAAGGTCCACCACCTCTCGACCACCGAATATCTCACCTACGAGGGCGGTAAGTTCTCCAAGTCTCGCGGCATCGGTGTGTTCGGAGACTCTGCCGAGAAGACCGGCGTCCCCTCCGACGTCTGGCGTTACTACCTGGTCTCGCATCGCCCGGAGACCAGCGACAGCGAATTTAACTGGGACTTGTTCATCAGCTGCAACAACAACCTGCTCCTGAAGAACCTCGGAAACTTCGTCAGCCGTGTGGTGAAGTTCGTGAACTCGAAGAACTACGACAACATCGTGCCGGACTACACCAAGTTCTCCGACCCGTCCTTCGACGTCGCCAAGGAGGAAATCAACGCTCTCCTTGCCGAGTACGTCCAAACTCTCGACGCCGTCAAGCTGCGCGCCGGTGTGGACAAGGTGCTGCAGATCTCCCAGAAGGGTAACCTGTTCCTGCAGTCCAACAGCCTCGACAACAAGCTGAAGGAGACCGAGCCTGAGAAGTGTGCCGCCGTCATTGGTTTCGCTCTCAACCTCATCCACCTGATTGCCGCTCTGATCGCGCCTTACATGCCCGCTACCGCCGATTCCATCAACGAGATGCTTCGCGTGGAGCCTCTCCGCATTCCCGACGAGTGGAAGGCCGACTCCGTCAAGCCTGGCCACGAGATCGCCAAGGCCAAGTTCCTGTTCAGCAACATCAAGGCTGAGAAGGGCAAGGAGTGGAGAGACATGTTCGGTGACAAGGAGGCCAAGAAGGCCAAGGAGGAGGCCGCGGCGAAGAAGGCCGCCAAGAAGGCCGCCATGAAGGAGAAGTCCAAGAAGGGAGGTGACGCGAAGCCGGAGGCCAAGCCGGAGACCAAGGCATAAAAAGCGTGTTCTTTTTGTGCTCGAAGAAGGGGAACTAGACTCTAGATCAGAGTGAAGGAAGAGTTGCATTTTACGGAGAAAAAGGAGGGGAGCGGGGGCGCAATTAGATGTCTCAACGACCATTTCAACAAACCACGGGAAGTTGCCAGCGGAGTTGTGGTATACATACCTAACTAACGAATGATTGATTACGTATTTATTCGGAAATTGGGGCTGCTATTCAACAGTTATTTTGTTTTCTTCCAGCAAGATTTGACCGGAATGATATCGACGAATTGGAAAGAAAGGAAGAGTCTTCTCTACTAGAGATTATTATGATATCACTGACTGTAAGGGTATGCTGACATGTAGTCTATATCTGCTCCAGTCTGCAATAATGTCGTCACTTAAGATGAGAATCCGGCGATAGGGCCTGGATTCGGCTTCGGAGATTAGACGCAGACTCGGTCGAACTCTCGGCGATAACTCAATGCCGAACTCTACGGCCTTGACTGCCTTCCCGGGCCTAGCTCCGGATCATTAAGATCTCGGGGTTGCCTGAGGCGTCTCGGGGTCTTCGGTCTATCCTCCACTTCCATCCCAATGTTACCATTGATGCTGAATGGAACTAGAAACACTTCTTCAACTCGATCCACTATGCAATCATCAGAGTGGCGAGAATGGATGATCTTCTTATCTCCGAAACAGCGGGATGACATCGGCATGCAAACCCTCGAGACCGAAAATCTTCGGGGTATTCTGTTTCTCGGCGATAGCCCTCCATCATATGAATCTTGTGATAGTGCTCTAAGAAACTATATTTGGGGCAGATATAAGAATGGCATATCAGTCTTTGTTCCCCTCATGTCAACTCAAACCTTGAATTCAAACCCCGCTTCCTCACCACTCTGATAGGTTCTCTATTTCCATAAACAACATACATCCATCCCTACACATGGACAATTCACTCAGGATGTCTATCGAAGAGGTACGTCTCATTCAGCCCCCTCCTCTTCCCATACTCTCTCACTCATCCTCCCTTACAGTCCATCGAATCCAAAGCGCAAGCTCTCCACACGCACATCTTCTCCCAACCCCAAGCCCAATACACCAACAACCCCTGGGCTCTGGTCAACGCAATCGAGGAGTTCGCCATCTCCAACAAAATGATGACCTACCGTGACGGTAAGATCCGTGCCACGAAAGCGCAGCTCGAACGCATGCCACGCGCCCCTCGCACCCTGCTTGAATTCGGCACCTACATCGGCAACTCCGCCATTGCCTGGGGCGCCATCCTACGTGATCTCAACCCCGGTGCCGAATCGCCCAGCGTGTACACGTTCGAGCTGAGCGCTGTGAACGCCGGTATCGCGCGGGACTTCATCCGTCTTGCGGGCCTGCAGGATATCGTGCATGTCGTGGAGGGCGAGAGCTCGGAGTCCTTGCGCGCGCTGCATGCGGAGGGGAAGTTGACTCCGGGGAACGTGGATGTGGTGTTTTTCGACCATTGGGAGAAGTTCTATGTGCCGGATTTGAAGATCGTGGAGGAGTTGGGTTTGTTGAGGACTGGGGGGCTGGCGGTGGCTGATAATACGGATTTCCCTGGGGCGCCGGAGTATGTGGAGTATGTCCAGGGGAGTAAGAGGTATCGAACGGATGTGATTGATTTGGAGGAGTTGAAGCCTATGCCGGTGAGTTTCTCTTTCTTGCTCTTATGGTATTTTTCTGCTTTGGTTGGATGCTGACTTGCTATGCTCTGTTTAGTCTATTGTGATGGTTAGTACTGTGGTTGGCGATGAGTGAACTTATGATGGTATGGTGGTATGAAGGAAGTAACTTGGTCCTGGTTGAAATGGTCCAATGAGTTTACATATCTTTCTGTTTTCTTTTAATCTAACGTCCCTTGGATCACTCGACCCTCAGACTATGTCAACTGTAAAAGTAAAGAAGAGTAACTATAGGCCATCTAAAAGCCCACAGCACTAAGCACCACAAGTATACGCCTACTACCCACGCAAGGCGGTCAACGCAAACTGCCCGCCTGACCGGGTGCAGTCTAAACAGGCTGCAAACCTCCGCCTCCGCATCGCAATTCCATCTCGACAATGATGTAGATCATCCTCTCTCTCTTTCTCCCTCCTCAATCCCAACCCACCGGTTTCTCTTCTCTCCGCCAAGGAATGCTGCACAGACAGTAGCGCATACCCACTCTCTCTATCTGACAAGGACTGCAATTGTCCGCCCCCATTCATTTATTTATCATGTACGTTCCGTCTATCTGTCTGATTGACTGGCTGGCTGGCCGGGCCAGCTGTTATAACGCGATCCCCCTCGCTTTAGGCAACTGCATGGTCGCAACGTACCCTGGAGCCCGAGTGAAATGATACCAAATCGCAGAGCTAATACATTCCTATCTAGGACTGTCTTCTCCCTCATCATCATCAACAAAGCCGGTGGGTTAGTCTACCAGCGCGAATTCCAGCCCGGGCTCCGCAAACTCTCGACGAACGATTATCTCGTCCTAGCAGGCACATTTCACGGGTATGTCCTGTCCTCTTGCCTTCATGCACCAGCCAGCCAGATAGATGTCGAATAAAGACACCCCACCCCACATACACCCCTACATCAACATTCGCTAACAACCCCTTCCAACAGAGTCCACGCCATCACCCGCTCCATCACCCCCCGAATCCCCATCTCCTCGACCCTCCCACCCACCGCCGCCACCGTATCCTCCTCCCCCTCAACAGTGATATCCCCCTCGGGGACATCGACGCCAACGACCTCCACAACCCCCTCCGCAACAGCGCACTCGTTCCCCATCCCCGGCGTCCCCGTAACGGGGCTCGAGACGCTCGAGACGGAGAAGTTCCGTCTGACGTGTTTCCAGACCCTCACGGGGACGAAATTCCTGTTGTTTACGGACCCGATGATGGGGAATATTGATTCGGTGATGGTGAAGATTTACGAGCTGTATGCGGATTATGTTATGAAGAATCCGTTTTATCAGCTGGAGATGCCGGTGAGGTGTGAGGCGTTTGATCGCCATTTGGGGGGTTGGTTGAGGGGGAGGACGTGAGTGGGTGATATGTATGGTCTGGTCAGGTTTGATGGTTATTTTATAAGATGGTGAAGGCCGGCGACTGACTTGCTGACTCCCTGGACGGGGGGATTAATGATTGCATTGATGACAACGTGCCGTTTCTTTTTTGTGATTACATTCTTCTTTTGCGGTTTTTCTTTTATCTACTCGTTGAGATAGCGGGCGATTGTATAGTGCAGACATAGATCAAGTCATCCTTTCAAAAGCGTCGCGGTGGGAAACGCTTTCTAGAATTACAAAACGAAAAGATACGTAGATACGAGCAGAAGCAGATACACAAAGAAAGAACAACGCCGGGTATGCATCAACGGTCATCCTCAAGAGAAAGAAAACTATCTCAGGTTTCCTCTCCTTACGCGGTGTCCATCTTATCGCCGTCTTCTTTCTTGTCTTTGCCGCCGCTCGATTCGCCCGATTGGCCTTCCTCGGGGATGTTGTCGAGGTTCTCTTTCCGTTCTAGCTCCTCGCGCTCCTTCTTCTCCTTCTCCTGTCGGTTTTTCTCTTCCTCCAAGGACAAGCGCAGCGCGAATGCCAGCTCGGGGTCGTTCTCAGCCGCATCTTCGAACCCAAAGCCACCGGCATCACCGCCGTCACCGGCCGCGCCCTCAGCCCCGGAGTTATCGGCGCCCAGGATGGGCGTGACCTGGAGCTCCTCGCTGAGCAGGTTAGGTCCGGGCGGGATGATGGCGAGATGCGATCCATCGCCACCCTTGACGTTCTCGACGAAGGCCTCCAGTTTCTTCGTTTGGTCGGATTCCAGGTCGCCGAAGGCGATGACGTCGATGGATACGTTGTTCTTCTTCATCTTCTTCGCCAGCTTCACGAGCGTCTTCTCGTCTTCTTCGATGGGCGAGCACGAGAACACCACGATGCGTTGACGCTGCGACTTCTCGGAACGGTGTTTCAGGGCCAACTACAAAATCCGCCATCGATGTTAGCCTAGCTTCCCTATATCTTGTATCGAAAATTCACTCTCAGAGTGGTGTGTAGCAACATACCCCGGCAACTTGTATACTGGAGCTAAGGTGGGCGGTGCCGTGGATCTTCGTGCGGTGCAGACCAGATAGAATTCCGCCAAAGTCAGTCGTGAATGTCGAAAGAACCTCGGGGCCCTTGCCGCCCATGCTCATGAGACCGACGGCCGATTGAGGGTGTACACGCATCTTGGCGGTATGGATGACGCTGACGGCGTCGATCTGCGCTTGCCATCGTGTCGAGCTGGAAGCTAGCTGTTAGGCGGGCTGAGGGCCAGAACTAGCTCGGGGCGGCCATCCGGTATGATGAACTTACGTATAATCTCCATTTCGACTGCTTTCGCTATTGTCGACACTGTAGATACAGTTAGTTCAGGTCCATGGAGCTTGGGAATGGAGATGGAGCAGGACGGACATGATCATGGTTGCTTCGAGCGACATCTTGGCGGTGGTGTGTGGGTGGGTGGGGAGTGGTAGATATTGGGATAATTCGGATGCACGGAACAAAATGGAGGGGTGTCGAGAAAGCACTTGAAGCTGTCCTGGGCTGCAAAGCGATGGGGGGTAAAGGTGAGGAAGGATGGTAGATGGAGGTGGGAGAGCTGGGCGGAAGTGAGAAGGCGAGAGATGTCACACCCTCGGGAGCTAAGATCGATTAAGTCAGCGCTTGTTTATCCCTTCCTTTCCTCTCTCTTCCACCACGCGCTCGCCCTCTCTTCTTCCACCCTCAACAAACCCCCGCCTGTTACTCCCAGCACACAAGCTCAGTCGACTAATTCCTCTCTGCGGTCCGGCTCTACATCGATACCAAAACACAATGGCTCCCCTAGGAACCAAGCGCAAGTCTGCCGAAGACGCGTACCCCAACAATGAGGCTCGAACGCCCACATCCAGCCCCCCTCAAAAGAAACTCCGAATCACACGAAACCAGAAACAGGCTTTGATCGATAACCTGCAGCTTGAGGGTACGACCCCATTTCTGTCCCTGTCTCTATTGACTTGTCGCCAAAACCCCGCTAACAAACCGCAGTCACCGAACGCGCCCGCAAACTTCGCGCCCAGTATGCCCTCCAGGCAAGCGATCTCCGCGCTCGAATTGAACGACGCGTCAACCGAATTCCCGTGGCTCTGCGAAAGGCGAATATGGGCGAATTGTTGGAGAAGCATAATGCGGCGATCCGGGCACAGCACGAGAACGGCTCGCCCAGGAAACTCATCAGCCCTATCAAGGGATCCCGCCTGACGGCCATTTCCATGAGCCCTGCGAAGCAAAGGGCTGCTGCCGCGAGCCCTCAGTCTCGCAGGATCAAAAAGCAAAGGTGGGACTGCGCTTATGCGTAACATCTTTCTTCAAATGACAGCCATGCTGATTGAAAATCACAGCCACGAAGGTCATTACTCCGACAAGGAGAACGCCCCGGCCGCGGGCGAATCTCTCGACGTATTGAAGAACCCCAAGAGGCGCGGAAAGCCCGGCGCCGCAGCTGGTACTTCGCGCGTCGTGTCCCAGGAAGTGAGAGGGGCCGACTTCCGGATCTTGTCGCCCAAGTCCTCCAACTCCCGAACCTATCCCCAATCGCCATTGCGCGCCTCTCCCGAAAAGCCCCAAACGTCGTCCTACCTGTCGCGCCCCATGTCGCCGCTGAAGCCGTCCAGTCCGCTCAAGTCGACCTCGGCAACTCTGCCCGGATCGGCTATGCGATCCGCGCGTGCTGCTCCCTCGGCCGCCAGTTCCATCCGACCCCCTTCGCAAGCGCAAACCAAGCGACCGGTGAGCCGGGCTGCGACGAGCGTGCGGTCCGTCCAGTCGCCTCTGCCGCGCCCTGCTACGCGCCAATTAGAGCGCCGAGGCAGCGTTTCGTCCTCCGCATCGTCCGGGACAACCGTTGCCAAGCCGACGCGCACTGGCACCGGCGCTCGGAAGGCGACCACTACGTCCACGTCCAGCGTGCCCGCCAAGAAAACAGTCGCGCGCAACCAGGTCCCCTCTACCTCTGCTAAGAGCAATACGGCTTCTTCAACAAGGAAGGCCACGGCGCCCGCCGGAGGTGAAGCTCCAACAACGGGCCGTAGGGTGTTGCGGAAACGGGCATAAGCAGGAACCGTCTAGACCCTACACTTGAGTGCATAGGAAAGCAAAAATAGGTCTTGAAACCACGGCTGGCATGACTGAATTACTCGGGAGTTGAAACAATTGGCGTATCATGGAATGGTTGGGTTATAGGAGTTTCAAACTATACTATGCGGAAGCATAGTCTGTGGGCTTATCTTTGTTTGAATAAATTTCTAGCTTGTCATTATTGCGTGCGTGTTTATGCTTCGAATTACTCCGTACGTTGTGTGGGATTTTTCTCTGGTGTTATATCGACATTGGGTAGTATTTAATTATTGGGACTTAATAATCGAAGTGGTTCCTTTCTCTTGCATGTTTCGCGCATGTTTATTTGCCTTGAGAATTCTTCCATTCTATTAAATCCATCTAGGGCGATCGAAACCAATTAAGGAACCAACATCGTGTTGAATAATTCTCTTTAAACAATGATCTTAAACTTTGATTCAATCCTGGTAGGTATTCATGAAACAATCACTGAACCAACCCTGATAACCATACGGAGTGAGAGGATACATGGTGCTACTTCCTTACTATATGATAAGTTAGGTAGGTAGGTAAGTAATTCATAACTATCATTCATCAATTGTCGAGATCTACAAAACACCACCAAATTCCTAAACTAAACTAAACCCATTACCCTCCCTACCCTACCTTACTGATATCATCCATTCACTACTCTGACTAGACCTAAATGCTCAATCCCAGCTCAGTACAGTCCAGTCCAGCAGTCAGCTGGTTTCTCGAAAGAAAAAGGAACCTATCATCTGCTCTCCTCCTCTTATCTCCTCTTATCTCACACGGAATCTCAGCACGAGTGATGAAAACCAAGTCAAGTCAAGTCAAGCACCAGACAGACATATATGGTAGCTAATAAGTAGAACGGTTATGTCGAGTTAAAGGCAAAGGTAAAGAAAGGTGAACCAAGGACCACAATAAGGAGAAATGACTTTAGAGTCTCAGCTAATGTAGGCTGTAGGCTTCAATTGGATAAGATGAGGTAGAAAAACAAAAAACAAAAAATGGTTTAGTTTAAGTAAGAAACGGAAAAGGGGAAAAAGGGGCGTATAAAAGAAAAGAAAAGTTATCAGCACAGGTATCTTGCAGTCACAACTGACCGGCTGGACAAGAAAAGAAAGAACGAGAAAAAAACAGAGCAGGACTTGTACCCGATTAATCAATTACCTCACGTCGCAATCAATGGGAGGTGATAGTGTTGGAGCAATGCCTAAAAGCTCGCTCGCCGAAGGGAAATAAAAAAAATGCCAAAAGGGCGAAAAAAACAGTCCGTCAAAGGGAAAGCGAGAGATAAATAAGAAAGGTAGAGAGACTAAGGAAATGAGATAGAGAAAGAATGCCAAGGTTAGATAGATGAGAAGGAGAAGGAAAAACAAACTCAAATGGAAATATTCACGCTAAGGTTTCCGGTGATGCAATGAAAAAAAAAAAAAAAAAAAAAAAAAGCGGGATGGGCAAAGGAAGAGATGACAGTGCAAGATTCATGTCCACGCTGGACACAAATCCAGGGATAAAACCAACAGAATGACCACAAATCATCATGCCAAGAAAGAACAAGAACAAGTCACTCCGAATCTCGCCGTCGAATGTATTACACTTTTAAGTGGTGATGGGCAAGAAAGATAGGAAAGGAAAGAAAAAGAAACGTCCACACGTCGGATTAAAGCAGGCCAGCCAGATGTGAAGCAGCTCTCGAGTGACTTATCTGGCTTGTGCAGGCTGACAGAACGCTAAAACAGCCCAGTTGTACGCCATTTGTATTTGGTTGGAACTTGCAGGATAAGAGAAACCAAAGGACATGGAGATGCAGTGGAAGGAGCGAGCAAGAAGAAAGGAGAAGGGGGAAGCAGGGTATTTAATATCGCTCAAAATACAACGGGACAAAGATCAACTGGCAACTCCCATGGGCCCTGCACCCGGACGAGCTCTGTAAGGCATCTGTTGAGGTTGTCCATCGGCCTGCATGGAGTTTGGCTGGCTACTGTTGCTGGTGCTGCGCTCGCGCTGCTCACCTGGCGGAGCAGGTCCGAGTTCCATACCATAGGGAGTGGCGCTGGCTGAATGAGCATGGCTGCCGGACCCTTGAACATGCCGCACGGAGCTCTGTGCCTGCCATGCTGCGTCTTGGGATGGCTCTCCCTCGATGCGTGCAGAGGTGGGAAGGTTCGCTCCCCGGTTCGAGTTGGTGATGGTAACTGTTTCGCCGCCGTTGCTAGGCTTCTGTGAGAAGCTTCCACGTGCGATATCCCCATACCTTTTGAGGATCTCTTTCGTTGTGACTTCAGAATTTTCCCTGAGGAAATTGGTGTCGCTGAGGACCGATTGTAGGTCTTCCGGAATCTGGAGGACATGTCAGGTTATCAAAACTCCACGCAAACCATCAATCCCCAAGGCCATGGAAAGGTGAAATAAAAACTTACCTCACACATCGTATCGTTGTATGTGATCAAGGCATTGATGGCCTCAATCGACAAAAAGCTTTCATCAACAGTGCTACTCTTAGTGTTGGGATACAAGATATTCGGTGTCATAACAGTTGCCAAGTTATGGATATCCATCTTGCTGCCCGTTTCTTCGTCGACATGCGAGAACGACGACGTCCAGTTAAGGAAGGCAAACAGCACCTCCATAGTATCTCGATGAGCCTTCGGGAGCAAGCAGCATGTCAAATGAAGCACCCGCTTTTGCTTTTCAGGGTCGGAAAGTTCTACAACGAAAATCAATCGGTCAGCAACAGGATACACCAGAGAGAGTGATCAAATACTTACTCTGCGATACGACAAATAGGCGATGGAGTTTGAAGGTCAGAAGAGGATCGGGCATCTCGCGAAGGAACTTCTTCAAAAGGGCCGCGATCTGAACCGGGTTTTCCTTAGTCATGTCCACCTGTTCGTACTTGTTGTCGATCATATCGGAAATGTCTTTCAGTCGACGGATGTTGCCATTCTTTCGGAAGACACCTTCTACAGACATGTCCATCTGTCGCATGGCGGATACGGCGTCATCGACAAGTGCAGGGACGCGGAGTGCGCCAGGCCCAACGCCGTGGCTAGACTCTGTACCCTCCTTCTCGACGAGATATTCCAAGCTGACGCCAAACACGCCCTTCTTCTTTCCAACCTTCTTGCCCTCCTTATTGAAGGCACGGCCAAAGATGTTCCAGATTGTCGGTTTGCGAGATTCGATCAATGACAGCAGCTCATCCAAAGTGAAATACCCATCGAGTAAGGGCTCCATGGACAATACGGCGACATGGCGAACAATAAAGTACTCCAAAGCTGACAGCTCGGAAAAGTATTTCTTGGTTCGTCCGCCCTGTTCAAGGAGATGCGATTCCAAACCAACGTCAGAAACACCACGCTGGTGGCCCTGATTATACCTGGGGAGCGGTTCGGTCGTGTTAACAAGCTTGGTCCGAGCATGCTTGTACGCGTTAGGTCGTTGCTCTTTGGCTTGTTCGGCCGCAACGATCCTGGGGATATCATCCAAAGTCAGAGCATCCTGGTTACCAAAAGTCAGCTCGGTGACTGTCTCGCCATTTGCGTCTTTTTCCTCTACAATCTGAAATCCGTGGCCTCGAGGATCGGCGCCTTCGCCACCGGAGGAACCGGGCCTCACGCTCCTCCCTTCCGGTCCGTCGATGATCCGCGACGCCCGAGCCTTTTTGTAGGTTGTCGATAAGGTCCGTTCGTTGCGAATGGAGCGCAGACGTCGCATCTCACCAACAGTTTGCTCGAGAGACGACTCTTCAGGGGCTCCTCTGTTTGCGTGCGTGTACGACTTCGACCGTGTGGTTGATCTGCGAACCATACCCGGTGGAGCCCGTGAGCCGTCCTGGTCATCTGGTAGTCTAGAGTTATCGTCTACAGCGAGGTCGGTAGGTCAGCGAGGTAGTTTCAAATGGCCCGTGAGTTGAGGTCGACGACATACCTGATGCGGATGGTAGAGTGCCGCCAGCTTGCAAGACGGTAAGAAGTCGTGCAAGCGCAACTCGCAGCAGAAAGACGAACTGCTGAAGTTTGCTCACGCGAGTAAATCCACTCTGCGTCTGAGCAGCAATTCCGCGCTGGCCAACACACGCATTACAGAAGGGGCGCTTATCTTTGGGACTCCACAAGGCGTCCTGAAGAGTAACGGTCAAATCCTTCTGGCATCCTGAGCATATCAAATGGGGCTGCTTGACATGCCATCGGTTGTCGCCTAGCATCACACATTCATCGTCAATCGGTTCCTTGCATGAGACGCAACAATCCGAGAGTTGATCTGCCAGAACTTCCACGCCCGTCATCAGATCCGCAGGGGTTTCTTCTTCCTCTATAGGCCTGAGTGCCTCCAGGTCCCCAAGACGATCCAGGAAATGGTGCAAGCCGTTGGGGTGCTCCTGCTCTCTTTCCAGCTTCAGAGCCCCCTGTAAGCCAATACGGATGAGAAGCTTAAGATAGTGCGCAAGACCGGTGACCAGAGAGAGAAGCTCTTGGGTAACCCCAAGTTTCCGGACGCCGGTCTCCTGGGTTTTCGACAGCAATGCGAAAAACGCTACAATCTTCTTACAGAGGAGTTTCGCTTCGCGGCCATAGGCAAGATCTAGATCGGGAGACAGTTAGTTAACTGGCCAGTTTTCCGTCGTGGCAGAGCGATTGCTCACCTTTCATGCCTTGAGCCTTAATCAGCTGGGCCAGTTGGTCAATGGCGGTGAACAGCACATCGACATGTCCAATAAATCGTTTGGCAACGAGAACACCGTCAACGTAAGTGCCGTTACTGACATGAAGAAGCATGTCGGAGATGCATGCGGCTGAGGATTCCTCAAAGCTCGAGAGGATGCTCCATATCTTATATACCTTCTCCTCCATCACGTCCTCTTCCTCCCGCACCCTGTTGCGCTCCTCATCGGTGGCATCCTGTTCTGATTCAACGGGCTCCAAAGGCTGACCGGTCGGTGCCAAACGAACGTTCCAAAATTTGTGGATCATGTAGCACTCGGGGTGCCAGTGTTGATTTTGGCCATTGCGGAAAATCTCTACGAACTGTTTCAGAATCGCCGTATGACAGCCGTGGCATCGTTGGGCGAATTGCGTCGAGTAGTGGAAGTGGCAGTATACTTTGCCCTCGTGTTCATAGTACGAGTCCTGCGCACCGAACACTGTGGGGCAAACGGAGCAGGTGAAATGCTCAATGTGATACTTGCGTTCCAACGCCGTGATATACGAGCCACGCAGGGCACCGCCGCACTCATGACAGAGGAGGTCTAGTCGTCGGAAATAGTCCGTTTCGCATAGGGGATACTGGCCACTGCCATCCTCCGCATCGATGGGGAAAAACTTGGATGCCACGATTTGGCCGCAGTCCTGTGCCACCAGTCAGCCACCGATCATAGTGGGTACGAAGATGAGGGGACTAGTGAATGTTGGGAAATTTACCTGGCATTTAAAGCACTCCAGATGAAACGTCGCACCCAGAGCTCGCACAAATTGACCGGTGAGAGGGTCACCGCACTTTTTACAAATCCTGGACGTACTAGCTGGCGATTTCGTATGCGGTCGGCCATTCGGGCGAGACCTATCACGCGGCGTGGACCGTTCCCAATAACCAGTCGGATCGCGCGGTGTGGACGGGTCGCGCGAGGTAGAGTTGGTTGATTCAAACCTTCGACTCATTCGGGTATCGGCGTTCGGAGGACCATCGACCGGGCTGTTCCCATTTCTTGCGCCCGAGATCGTACGTGGCGAGTCAAAGGGGACATTGCTATCTGCAGGTGACGTGGGGGTATTCGATTTGGAGCCTCCTCCATAGCCACTAGTGTTTAACGTGGGACGGACAGCCCCGTTGCCCGGCACGAGGCTGTCCGGCAAAGGAACGTCGCCGGGAGGCATTTCCTGAAAGGCACTCTGCGGTTGACAATTCGAATGAATGCGTCTCGACGATTATCTCGGAGGGGGTCGACGGCGAGGGTTGCGGCCAGGGTGTGCTGATCCTCGGGAGTGGCTTCGAGCGATGGGTTTGCCGCCAAGACTGGGTAGAATCGAATTCTCGAGGACGGGATAAACAAAGAGAAGATCCAGGATGTTACGATACCGAGCGATCGGGATCAAGTACTGCAGGATTATGGCGTCCTCTGCACGGCGAAACGAAACGAGAAAAACAGAAAGAAAAAAGTCAGGCCCTAACCGCCTTTTTCGTCTTCTTTGCGCGGGGCAGTTTAGGGGCACTGGGGGTGTTTTCCGTACCAACTCACCTCACGCCATGTGGATGAAACTTGCGGGGAAATTGGAAAGTCGAGGATTGAGGATGAAAAGACGAACTCGATCTACGAGACGCAATTGTCATAGACCGAGGCACGAGCGGAGAGCTTTTTTGGGGGGGTGGAAAGATATGTCACAAGGAGCGCAACCGCCCGAGTCGAGGGCGGCGGAATTGAAAAAAGGTTGGAGCTCAAAGCGAGACCAACAGGCGGCGGAGTAAACTGCCCGAGATCACAACCATTCCTAGTCCCTTTCCAACGGACCAAGGGACGGGAGACGGGGGTCTCCGACCGGAATCAAAAGAATGGGGGAAAACGAAAGTTGGTCGAGGGAGCGAAAACCGGTCTGAGAGAAAGAGAGGAAGCAAGAGAGGAAGAGAGGGGGAGAGAGAGAGAGAGGAAGAAAGAGAAGGAGAAGGTTAGGAGAGAGGCGCGTGCTTGGGGAGAAAGATGCTGGCGGTGGTTTTCTTAGGACTCTCTGACTCTCTGTCTCTCTCACTCTCTGCTCTCCGTTCTCCCCTCCTCCTCCTCCCCCCTAAACTATGCTGGGCGGCTTCTTCACGCCTGCCCACTAGGGATGGTCACGTGTATGTATTCACCGCCCCAGCCACCGCCCGCTCGTCGGTGCTCTCGTGGCGGACGATCGGATCGGTGACGGTCGGTGTAGCTAGGGCTATCCAGAGGGTTCACACCTCCCATCCTGAGTATGAGATAGAGTTCTGGATCATATCCCAGAGGCATCCCGCTTACTCTACGTCCCCAATATATCACAATTGTATTGAGGTATTTACCCTTCCTCCACCACAGAGTTGTTCCGGCAGAAACCCCTCGGGCGGCAAAGCAGAATTCTCCAGTCCCAAAAAATCCCAGCAAGGTAAGTCAAGAAGGGTGAGGTTCCATGTTGGCGGGGTCCCACGAACGGCCAATGGCAGGGATCAATCAGGGGCAAAGAGAGGGGAGGTTAAAAATAAGTACGGATTAGCGGTAGTCTAATGTTCGATGGCCCAAGAAGACGAGGGAATCAGGAATGAAGGTTGAGTGTCCACCGTCGACGGCGTACCGCCAGCAGGGGGGAAAGTGGACGTCGACTCCATCCCGTGCAGGCGGTGAAACAGGGGTTGTAGGAGTCCTCAGATATCATTACTCATATGGGATCTTGACTTCCATTCCTTTGGAGATCCAGCCCTTCCTGCAAGGTACAGAGAATATCTGATACGCCATCATCGTGGACACAGTACCGAGTCCACACAGTGTACTCTGTCCAGAATACTCCTACAGTGTTACCCACGACAGACTCCGTCCTGGATGTGATCGCTAAAGCGACTACGCCGTAAGCGGCGGTAGTGCCGCCTACGTAGGCGCTAGTCTCCACTCGACTGGACCAAGACCCTTGGGAGTTGGGCCAGTGTATTCACCACTTACCAGTTACCACTCAGTAAATAAAAGGGTTAGATACGGCGTCAAATTAAACGGTGGCCTCAATCGGCTGGACTGATTAAAAACAATGCACGGTGCGTCCTTGCTCCGATCCTGGAGAGGTTTGACGCCGCCAAAGGTGAAAGAAAGCGCCGTCAGATCTTACGAAGATATGTAGTCTCCCCACTCCGGAGTTTTGTACATACAACAAATAAAGAAAATAGAATAAAGAAAACACAAACCAGATCAGAATGGATCTAACAAAGAGAGCTAGCCCTCCAGTATGGTATATAGTCTCGAGAGGAGGTACCTCTGCCGGACCGAAGGTGTCATTTATAGTTCGTCGGAAGGTACCAGTCGCCTGGCGTTTGCTCTGTGTGCATCCGTCTTTTTGGAGCTCCTGTCCCGGCGGCTCTCTTCACCTCACCTCCTCCTCGTCCTCGGATCAACCAGCATAAATCAGGCACGAACCAGCCCGGGCGCCTCTCCATCTTCCGGTTCATGACCACACGTGGAAAGCGCCTGGTTCCTCCCTCGCTTCGGGGACTTTTGCCCTTCCATCGCCATCATCATCATCGACAACTTCTTAGCCGTCCAACTGGCCTCGTCCTTTATTGACGACCTGCCCAGCAACCGGCACTGTCTCCCCTCGTAAAAATGTCAGACCAAGCCACGCTGCGCATTACCAGGGTATTTCCCCCCTTTCTTGCTTCTCGGGTCCGTGGTTCTTTGGAGTCGTCTGAAAACTAACGAGCGCCGTCAACGCGGGGTACTAGGAAATCAAACAAATCCAACAAGATGCCGACCTTTGTAAGCCACGCTCCTTGTCAAGCTTGATGAGCGCCTTTGGTAATCATCCCATATAAACTGACTTCTGCCTCTCTTCGGGCGGCGTAGCTCTCGCCGTGGGATTCAAGGATTCTGATATCCGAGATGTGCAAGCTCTTATCCTGGGGCCCCCGGGCACCCCCTACCAATTCGGGTTCTTTGAGGTGCGTTTGAGATAACTTTTCTTATTTACTTTGCTTTCACATCCGGCATTTCTTTCAATACTTAAGCGCTCGATTCAATATATTGACTGCTAGGTTACATAGTTTAAAATCAAATTCGGTAGAGGTAGGCCGACTCCGAGACAGGATCTCTGTGCGACGAACTCAGCTCACCGACCTGTGTCATTCTTCAGAATACCCCGCAAAGCCTCCGAAAGTTCAAGCTATGACCACGAACGGAGGGCGATGTCGTTTCAACCCAAATATCTATGCCTGCGGCAAGGTTTGCTTGTGAGCTCTTCAACCTCCCTGGCACCTCACTTTCTAACCGTCCACCCTTTAATACATTCTAGGTCTATTTTGGGGTAAAATTCCAAGAGTGTTCTTTGACTGTGAGGACAGAGCGAGCAGCTAATTTGCTTTACAGTACCTGGCAGGGGCAGAGAGGAGAGCAATGGTCGTCCGCCCAGGGCTTAGAGTCGATCTTGATCTCAATCCAGAGCCTGATGTCAAACAACCCATATGAGAACGAGCCTGGCTACGAGAATAAAACGTCAAGAACAGACAAACTCAGCATGAAATCTTACTGTGCCAAGGTAACAAATCAACCGCTCTGATCTAGCGGTCTGCGTTGGAAATGCTGACCGCGTCGCTTGCAAGATTCGTCACGAATCCCTCCGGATCGCGGTCATCGAACCACTAGAGTCGGCATTATGCGTCCAAACTGACGCGATTCAGAATACTTTCAGCTCGTCTGATGAAGGAGACCAACATCTCTATGACGATGATGAGATCATTACCTTTGATGATTTCCGTAAAAGGCGGTTCTTGTGGTACTTCGAGTCCTATATGCAAACCATTGACGAGGCTATCCCGGAAACGCCACCCCAACGTAAATTCGAGACCATGCCATTCGAGGGTTACAAGAACGGAATGGAAGGTCATTTCAACTACCCCGAGCTCAAAAGACGCCTGAGTCAGGTCAAGGACAAGATCTTCGAGGAGACCTTTGGCTGGGTGGATGAAGGATCCCAGGCCAAAAAGCAGGAACTGGGCATTGCGGTCAACCTGCAGCGTCAGTACGAACAGATTGTGGAGCACTTCAAGAGCCAAAAGAACTTCACGATCGATTTGAGCTTGGTGGACGGCAACCCTTTTTTATGGGAGTTTATTTATTTCGGTCGGCCCATGACCCAGCTAGACGGGGGCATTTTCAAGTTCAAGATCTACTTGAGTCCACGTTTCCCCGACGAGCAGCCTCGCGTCCTCGTTGAAACATCGCTCTTTCATATCCGCGTGTCCCCATCCGGGGTCCTTTGCTACTCCCCTCAGCGACCCGACGAGATGCGCTTCCACATCGAAGCCATTGTTGCCGCAATGGAGGAAGAATCGCCGCCTTATGACCCTCGAACTACTGTGAACCCCGAAGCCACCAAGCTTTTCTGGGGAAGCCCAGACGAAAAGAAGCAGTACAATCGGCAGTTACGGAGATCGGTTCAGAGGAGCGTCGAGTGATGGCCCTGACGTTCTTGGTTCTAATGATGCTCATCAGAGACACGAGTTATGCCATTTTTTATTAGCGAAAACAGATGCCTGGGACGCCTGGAGTTTTGTTTCTCATCATTTTTCTCGGTTTTAATTAGTTTCTTATTGCATTTGATGTCACTCTTGTTTCCTTTGGGTCTGCTTGTAACGTGAGTCCCATGAATTGAAGGCAACGCAAGTGTGGCCGAGGCGTTGAGGGAATGGGATATTTTATTTATTCGGTCTGTTTGTTTTCATGAATTCCACAATCATCTCCAACTTAAGTTAGAACATCAAAAAAGAAAAGAATTTTTCCATTCACCATGGCCGAGACCACGCTTTTTCGTAGATTAAAGTCGGGGGCGAAAGACGGAAGTGGAAATGAACGGGTCCGAGCTTCTTTGGCCCCGGACTTTTCCTTTTCTCCTCCCCAAACTTTACCAACTTGACAGTCTCCCTTGACCCTTCACTATTGTCCGCCTGCCTCTCTCCCCCTCTTCCCTCCCTCATTATACCAACCACCCTTTCTCCTTTTTTCTTTTTTCTTTTGAACTCGGATCCTTTCATCTTGATATCGCCGCTATGTCTACTACTAAACGTTCCACGATGGAATTGGGCAAGGTCCTGGTGGTCGGTGGCTGCGGATTTCTGGGCTGGCACATTGTCGATCAACTGCTTGGATTTCCCTCGGAGACCGACCCCAGCGTCGCCCTCCCCAAGCCGCAAGGAGACGCTCGCTTTGAATACCCTAACCTGGGAGACCGTTACCCCAGATACATCGCGAAGGTGTCCGTCGTCGATCTGAGAACGTCCAACAACCGACTGCCCGGCGCCGAGTACTACGACGGAGACATCACGTCGGTCGAGTCCATGCTATCCGTTTTTCGCGCCGTCCAGCCCGACGTGGTCATTCATACCGCTACGCCGAACGTCCTGGAGGGAAACAAGCCGCTCTTGCACAAGGTGAATGTCGAGGGGACCCAGACGCTGCTGGAGGTCGCGGGCGGCGCTCATGGCGAGTGGGGTGGAAAATGTCGCGCTTTCGTCTACACGAGTTCTAGCTCTGTGGTGCACGATACGCAAAGCGACCTGATCAACGTGAATGAGGAGTGGCCTTACATCAGGGGAAAGCAGCAGTTGGAGTACTACTCGGAGACGAAGGTATGTTGGTCGCGTTGGTTGTGGAGTGAGAGACACATGCGCTAATGACGATTGATTGTCTTAGGCGGACGCAGAAGAAAAGGTCTTGAAGTACAACCGCACTTCGCCCTCGTCGATGTTGACTTGTGCTGTTCGTCCCGCCGGTATCTACGGTGAGAAGGATACCACGTTCACATACAAAATCCTGGAACATTCGTCGAAGGCGTCGCCCGCTGTTCTGCGCCTGCAGCTCGGTGAGAACAACAACCTGTTTGACTTCACGTACGTTGGCAACATCGCTTACGCCCATATGCTGGCCGCGTGGCGCTTGCTTGGCACCAAGACTCGGTATGACTCCGGGCAGTCTGAACCGCTGGACCACGAGCGTGTGGACGGAGAGGCATTCAACGTGACCAACGATTCTCCAGTCTACTTCTGGGATATGACTCGCGCTGCATGGGCGCTCGCCGACAAGGTTGTTGAGCCTCATGAGGTGTGGGCGCTTCCCGAAGGTCTCCTGGGCCCCCTTGGTGCTATCGTCGAGACCGTCTTCGGACTTATTGGCAAGACCCCCCGTTTGAACCGCAGAGTTGTCCGCTACTCGTGTATGACCCGCTACTACTCCGCCGATAAGGCCAAGTTCCGCCTGGGCTACGTGCCTCTCGTCTCGGTGGACGAGGGTCTTGCCCGCGCGGTTGGGTACGTGGTGGAACGCGAGCGACTGGAATCTGAGAAGAAGGGACTGTGATCCGGCGAGTCGATTGTGATCTGAATCTGTCTGTACTATAAGTAATCATCGGGTCGTTTTGACCTTAATATCCATTTGTCAATATGTTTTTTGATGCCCACATACAGCATGGGATTGTTGACGAAGTTCACGATGGTCATCTACTGCTAAGTCATTGTCAGCTCAATTTACGTTTTTCTTACCAACAACACATTAATTAATGAATTGATTAGTATCATGAAAGAAAGAAAGAAAGAAAGAAAGAAAGAAAGAAAGAAAGAAAGAAAAACAAACAGTCCCGGGGCGCCACCGCTCAGTACGAGAGAAAAATCATGCAATCCATCATCGCGTACACATCAACATCCCCTAGTCAAAATCCTTCAACAGCTCTCGCAGCAGCTTATCCCCCTTGACCACCTTCCTGTTGAAGAACCGTCTCGTTGTCAGGGTATACTCCGAGAGGGCCTCCTTGGTGTCAAACCGCTGCGGCGTGGTGCCCGTCTGCTGCGCCTCCAAAAAGTCCACAATGTTAATATGTACCCCCTTCATGGCCTACACAACACCCGCGTGAGCTAGATCCGATCACCTAACCTTCATTCCGCTCCAAAACCAACGCAAAAGATAAGGGACTCCTTCCCCTAAACACACACACACACACACACACACACAGAGAGAGAGAGAGAGAGAGAGAGAGAGAGAGAGAAAGAGAGAGAGAGAGAGCACATACCTTCTTGCACTTCTTGATGGAGGGGAAGGGGCCCTCCAGGCCGAGCTGCTCGCAGAGCGTCCTCCAATCGTCGAGCGTGGCGAGCTCCCTCTTACCGATCAGCCGGTTGTACTCCAGATTGACGAATCTGTTCCACTGCTTGTTCCAAGTCTGGGAGCCTTCTTTCCACCGGCGTAAACTGGCTAGGCGATTGAACTCCTCGGTGATGAGGGCGTTGGGATCATGGTCGAAGTCCTTGAAGGTTCTGAAGTACATCGATGGGACTGCCCATTTGTGGTGAAAGACGAGATGGCTGGTGTAGTTTGCTTTTATTTGACGAATTTGAGTCCAGAGCTCCTTTTGGTTTATGATTGTTGATGATAAGTACAAGGTAGCCAGGAGTTGTGGGTGTTTCTAGATAAGCGAGGTTGGGGGGTTCGTAGTTTGCTAGAGGGATTCTCTGGTACTTGTCAACGAGACGCTAGGCGATGTTTGTTAGCAGGCGTGAATGCCATGTGTTTTGTGTATTAACAGCCCTACTCAGTTCAAGCAGACGCTCGGACCTATTGTTATTGTGGTGGCTAGAAAGAGATATCGCCAGTTTGTAGTTGGGTGAGAATTCCGACTATCGCATATCTTTCTCATGCCTATCCACGGGCGTTTCCATCACACTGTTAGAACACATATACGGATCAACTTTGCCAGACACACCCAAGCGCATGTCTGATCAATAAGATCACCAATTGACTCATCCTTCCAAACAGATGCCGCTGTGTTGTACCTTCTCAAACGGGAGCAAGGAAGGCTTTCCTTGTCCTGGTTTGGGCGTGCATCTTCTGCTCATGCCTTACCAGCTCATCCATCGTGTCACCTCTTCTTCTTTAGAGTCTATTTAATTCTAAGACGACGGTTTCCTATATTTGAATTGTTTGAGTCTCCCACAGCGATGATGGTCTCTCAGTCAACTCGCTCTATCCAACATTCGATGGCCCTGCTAATCCTCCTACTTCTCCAACTGCTGGGGCTCGCTCAAGGGCGTTCAGGGAGGCAAGTCATCAGGCCCCTGGAAGGCATACCGGGGATAAATGCTACGTTCGATTATATTGTGGTGGGTGGCGGCACTGCAGGCATGACGGTGGCTGCGCGTCTGGCTGAGCAGAGGTTCCGCGTCGCTCTGGTGGAAGCTGGAGAGTTCTACGAAGCTCAATACCCTATCTCGAAGATACCCGGAGCTGCAATTCTGGGCACAGGGTCCGATCCATATTATAAAACACCCATCGACTGGGGGTTCGTGGTTCAAGGCAGCCCGGGTGCGAACTCCCGCGACATTCATTATGCGAGGGCGAAGTGCCTGGGAGGATCGTATGCATCCAGCTTTCTTCTTCAGAGTATACCACACACTGATTTTTGACCTTTGTGTTTTGAATCTACAGATCAGCAATCAACTTGATGATTTACCAACGGTTTGTTTGCTATAGTTTATGGGTATAGGGAACAACGCTGATACCCGAGGTCGATAGACCGAGTACAGGATCCATGCAACTGTGGGCCGACCTTGTCAATGACCAGAGCTACACGTTCGAGAACACCTTGCGCTTCTTTCAACGGACGGTGAAGTTTACGCCCCCTGACAATCGCAATCGCCCTGAAAACGCTTCTCTGCAGTATAATCCAGACTCGTTTGATAAGAATGGCCAGCCCCTTCACGTATCATACCCTATACACCCCGGTTCTTTTCCTAGCTGGATGAAGCTCGGGTTGGAAGCAATGGGAGTCAACGAAACCCGAGATTTTAACAGCGGTTGGCTTTTAGGGTCTCAATATGCGCCTTTTACTATCCGACCGTCCGATCAATCAAGGAGCAGCTCGGAGTCTTCATTCTTCGAATCCTCCCTATTGCAATCGTGGAAGCTCAGAACTTTGACGATCTACAAGATAACCATCGCAAGGAAAATTCTGTTTGATTCTCATAAACGGGCCATTGGGGTCGAGGTGAAAACATTCGGGCTGCGATATGTTCTGAATGCCACACGGGAGGTCGTGGTCTCGGCCGGTGCTTTCCAGTCTCCCCAACTCCTGATGGTCTCGGGGGTAGGGCCGGCCGACACCCTTAAAGAGCACGGGATCGATATAGTCGCTGATCTCCCAGGTGTTGGCCAGGAGATGTGGGATCATGTCTTCTTCGGGCCGACATACCAGGTGGCATTGGAATCGTATAGTAGGGTCACAACCGACATGTGGTATCTCCTTGAACAAATCGTTAAATACTTGACTTCCCACCGGGGTGTACTTACTAACCCAGGTATTGAGTACCTGGCCTTTGAGAAGCTTCCAAATGAGCTGCGGTCATCACTCTCGCCCCAAGCCCAAAAAGACCTTTCCTGGGTTCCTAGTGACTGGCCGGAGATAGAGGTAACATGTTTCTTGGCTCGCGATTTGGTCGGCTATTTTTCCGCTGACTTGAAGTCCAGTACATTTCGGTGCCAGTACATGTTGGTAACTACTCCATTCCGATATTACAACCTGGGGGTGGCAGACAATTCGCTACCATAGCCGGGGCACTTGTTGCGCCGACGTCGCGCGGGAATGTCACCATCATATCAGCCGATACGGATGACCTGCCGATTGTTAACCCCAACTGGCTTTCGACGGAAGCCGACCAGCAGATGGCAATTGCAGTATACAAGAGAATTCGCGACATTTTCCATAGCACGGCCATGGCTCCATTGGTGGTTGGGGAGGAGTACTTCCCGGGGATGCAGTATCAGTCCGACGGCGACATTCTCAACGTCGTCCGCGACACCATGATGACCGTATTCCACGCCACCGGTACCTGTAAGATGGGAGTTCCCAGTGACCATATGGCGGTCCTAGATAGTCGGGCGAGAGTGTTTGGAGTTCAGGGGCTGAGAGTGGTCGATGCTAGCTCTATGCCGGTTCTGGGCCCCGGGCATCCTCAATCCGTCGTTTGTAAGTGCATTATACCAAGGCTTGAGTTCTTCTCTAACGACCCCAGATATGCTCGCAGAAAAGATTGCGGCCGATATTATCCACCACACTGCGCTAGATGTCTGGGATACGCCGACTTGTCTTTGCCGTCAAATTCGTATTGGTTCTTTTGATTATGACTGGATATGATGCGATAGGTTCATTTTGATATTATATATTGTTCCCACGATGACATCATTTGGGATGATGCTGGTTATATAAGTTAATCTTCAGCATTATTGGCATGGATTGATGCGGTACTTGTTCACTGAATACTTTCTAACAGGAATACAGATGTAGATGCAGATGCAGATGCAGGAAGCATGAAGATCTTAGCCCGATCCGTTAGACTTGAGTTCGCATAACCTATTACTTACTCGTAGAAACTGTCCAAACGATCCAATATGTAATCTGATGTAATCAGCACAGGGTATTCGTCATGTAATGAATATACTGTGTAGATATGAATATTATCTAAACCTCCCCCTCCCCTGATGGGATCGGAATTAACCAATACCTACCTACCATCCATCCATCTGCAAGCTCCACACCAACCAAAGACAAAAGAACAGCCCCCCGTCATCTCCTGCAAGGATTATGTGGACTGATAAGCAATCTGTGCAACGTAAATTGAAATCGCCTATGACTAAGGTATGATGTAGGGGATGCAGAGGGGCGAGAGGCGAGTTTTTACGGTGTACATACTTACACTGAGTAGGTGTAGCTCGTGCGAGAGATTGGAAGATCTTGTGTGAAATTTGTTTGTGGTACATACGATGGGGTGATAATTGCCTTCTTTTTTTTATATAATAGATTAGGATATATGCTCCGTGATTTTGTATAGTAGAATAAATATGAATTGAGGTGGGGAGATCGATGAATCATCTGTTTTGGATGACGATTCGATTGCCGTTGTGGCGAGTTTGGATATATTTATAGTACTAGATATTTACCTACCCACGGAGTATATAATACCCCACATAAATAAACAAACACCTAAATGTTTGTCTTCTATCTTTTTTAGAATAAATATGTATGAAACGGAGTGGGGACTGGGGAGATACCTAGAGGATGGATCCTTTCATCATCATGTTTTGGATGACGATTCACTTGTCGCTGTGGCGAGTTTGGCTATATTTGTTGATACCTACCTACTCACGGAGTATAGATAATAAACCAAGTAAATAAATACCTATGCTTCTAGATTTTATCTGTAGTTAGTTGTATGTATACGGAGTATGCATAATTATGTCATGTAAACCGATTCATATAAACTACCGAATTGTTTGCTTAATCCCTGGATCTTTCTCATCATTATGATTCAGTGGTGTTATTTATTGATGATGGTGGCGGTGGTGGTGGTGGCTAAAAAACGTACTGGTATCACGATCATGGGTTAGGTTTTGATGTTTACCTACCTGTGGCTTGCAAATTCTTGATGGTGTGACGAATGTTGCAGTTATTACGGTGTCTTAATATTTATATTATTTCTACTTACGGTGTACATAGGTGTAGGTCTCTAAGTCTTGAAGGAAGAATGAAAAGGAGGTAGGGTATGGTGGGTATATTTCGCTCTACCATATGAAACATTGCTAGGGCTATTGACTATAGCTTTATTCCTTGGAATAACAGCGTTAATCAATCTTTTTACTATGTACCTGGTGTATGTAAATTAAATCATTATTCATAAATAAGTTATATTGATGACCCGGATATACAAAATTCAACTACCCCCAACATTTATACACCGTGCATAGTATCGCAGAGTCAATACTTAAACGAGTAAACCCTCAGAGTCAGACCATCTACATGAACAGCTTTGCTTTGAACCGGAAGTCGACCCGGCAATCGCCACGCTCGACCTGCAACAGAATGTTAGTTGATAGGTAGAGACAACCTGAACCAGACACCGTCTGAGTCGTTGACTTGAGGATTTTTGAAACTCAGCTAGTAATGCTCGTATATAGTGAGATATGACAACGTAATGGCGGTAGGTTAATAGATAGTTTTTCAACGGTACTTTTGTCGTGCCTAGACCGGGAATACCAGATTCGGCTACCTACCCATACCCACACCTATACCAGGTAAACCTGTATTCAACTGCCTTCCACTGACATGAGATAATAGCCGTTGATATAGCTTTGACACGTTCTGATAGTTAGTTATAGGTACCGGTCCTATTGAGCGGAAGGTTGCCAGAATTAGCAGCTCCGAGCAAAAAGATGTTTATATTATGATGTTAGATTCGAATCAATCAATCAACTTCAACCATTCCAGCCAGATAAACCATCCACTCCTTTAAAGCAAGAAAAAAGTCATGTCTGGAAACGCGGAGAACGGAAAGCCAGGGAGGAAAGAAAAGGAGGGTCGTGAAATCTCCGAGTGGAAGCCATGTTCGGGATCCAAGCACGAATTTGGTCGACCAGGTGATGCTAACCACAGACATCATTCTAGAGCTTGTCGGTCTGGAGACGGAGAGTCTAGGCCGGAGTAGATTTGTATTTGGGGTTAAGATTTTCCTTATCTTGTTTTGGTTCTTGAGTCGGAGAACTGGTCGGATTTACATGTACTGTGGAGAGATCTCAGGTAGTTCTACGTATTTTCTCTGTAGGTGAAACTCCCCCTCCAGCCAAGTACAAACAAATACAGACAAAAGATCGTTCCCCGGACGGCAGTTACTCGGCAGACCAGACCAGACCAGACCAAGATCTCATCCGCATGTCAGATGATGAATTTCCGGCACGTTCAACCAACCACGATGCCACATTTCAGAGACCGGAACAACGGCAAGTGCAGTTCCAGTCTCAGTCCAGTTCCAGTCCTGGGTCCTTAGGAAGTCGGTAGGTATGGGATGGTCTAGTCCGTATGTCTCTCTCAGCAACCAGAAAGCCGATCATGGCCTCATCGTCCCGTCCGACGAGGTAAGGATTGACGGTGCCGATACCGATGCGATGCGATGCGGGTCTGCGGACGGATGGGGTTTTGTGGGGAAAGATGAGATAGTTAGATGGTATGATGATGAATCATGAATGGGATTTGGTTCCCCTTGTTTCGCAGTGGATAACGGGGAGGTACCGTAGGGGTAGGGATTTCCGCTTCTCTCTCTCTAATTTTCTGTGGTTTGTAATATTCAAATGGAGGCCCATTGAAGTTTGGTTCATGTGTTGATGCAGAATGGGAGTAACTATACTCAGTGTACATGTATGTACTGTCTACAAAGGGAGCACGGAGTTCGAAGACACACTCCATTACTCCATACTAGTAACTACTGACCATTCAAAGCAAACGATCGATCATTTCCAGTCGCTGCATGAGGGAATGGGACCCATGCACGACGCAGGGAGGCCCGCAGTATTATTTTTTTCTTTCTTTTTGTTGTCTCTCTGGTCTCTTCCTTGCCGGACCCTAAAGGAAGAAGCAGACGAAGGAAGAGCGACAGACTCCCCGACTCCCCACCTTTTTCATCCAGTTTTACCCCGCAGAATCAAATCCGTTTCACGCAGCTCTCGTTGATCCTGCTGATGCTCGCCTTGGGTCTTGCGAAAGTTTATTGTCTCCTCGACGGCAAAAAAAAGTGCCAATCAGTTGTCTGGGAAATTCAAAGGTACCGCTCTCAATTCTGGTTCTTCTCCAAGATATACACCGTAAGTAATTAACTCCGCCTGGTTCGGTCGGCAGAGAGGAGAAGTGCAGTAATTAAGACAGAACTCTGCATCTCCGTCCCAGACCTTGCACGTCCCCAGCAATGTAGGAGGTCGATGCTAATGCCAACCTAGCCTCTCACTAACGTAGCTTGTCCATGACTGCAGAGTGCAGATGGAACGAGAAGCAGACGAGGTGGGGAATGTCCGACTTGTACAAATCGCTTGTGTTCCCACTTGGTACCCCGATTCCGCCCGGGGCGAAGGGAAATGCTGAAGGAACACACACACACACACACACACACACACACACACACACACACACACAAGAGTGCACCAAATAATAAAAAAGGAGAAAAAAGAAAGAAATGGTCACACTAATGAGGTTCGGAGACTGGGGGCATTCATGGAATTTTCCATGAACATCGTCACACCTTTGTCCGATGGATGAAGAGAAGGAAGAAGGGGGGAGGATCCATGGAACGCAGCCAGGAGGTGACGTCCCGAGAACTCCGCCGGAAACGGTGGATGGCGGTACTTTTCGATCGGATGATCATCTGGACACTTTTATCTGGATGTGAATGATATGTTATGGTTTCTCTTAGCCAGAGCCGAACTCTTACTCAGTCACTAACGGTGTCAGTTACCTAATGTACAACTAAGAGACTAAGAGACTAAGAGTAGACGATGGAATCCACTATCACCCACCGTTGAAAGCAAATCAGCGTAGCGCATGTGCGGACCGGAATGACAGGCCTTCGAATGATACCGATAAGTTGATATTATTATCGCCCTAGACTAACGAGTCCTACGAGCTGGTGGTCCGAGGAACGAGCCGTGTCTAGACGAGAAGGGGGGAGGGCGAGACAGGGATGCGACAGATCTTATGCTGCTGGGGATGAAGGCACGAGCGAATCACCGGTCGGGTCGATACGATCCAGACAACAGGTCATGATGATGATGATGATGAGGAGGAGGAGGAGGAGGAGGAGGAGCTGATCTCTCCCAGATAATTCCAGAGTCGAGGTTACTCTTCGTTTTCCCCCGAGAAGGGCAACAGTCGGTGGTCCGTGGCGTGGTGGTCGGCGTTGAATCATGTTATGCTTCTTGCGGGTCTCCAACGGTCGGGGGGATCCTTTTCTTACAGTGTATTATTATTGATTATTTTTTTAATTTTTGGTTGTTGGTTCATTACAAGGGTTTCAGGTATTTATTTTATTATGCTATAATGGTCTTTTCTTGATTCTTAAGGTATAGACAGTAACTATCATAGGACTACGGAGTAAGCACGGGGTTTGGGCTTCACGACTGGACTGTTTGTTTCAGAGCGTCGAGACGAGATGGAATTCTGAAATTACTATTCATATTAATGAGAATTAATACTGTAAGGATGCCATGTCGTAATGGTCAAAAGAATCGGAATTGATCGTCCTTTTCTGCCGTTCCTCTTTTATTTTTCTCTTCCCTGCCTCACTTTGACTTTCAGACTGCATTTGCCTTTTTTACCCACTTCTCTCCATCCACCTTTTTTTTCCTTTTTTTTTTTTAATATTTTTTTTTATTATCTCCGTCCCTTCGGCTTCCCCCTCTCACTCTCCTCAATCCATATTTCCATACTTCTCTGTCCATCTTCACCCACTCGACACGTCGGATCGCTGTGATTCTTCCGGAACTGCCTTCGTCAACCTCAATCGGGGATTGACTCGGTCGATCACGCTGGCTTCGCGTTGACGCCTCCCGTCGCGCTCTTCCCCGCATAGCCGCTACTTTGTCTTTCTCTTGGTCGCTCGTCTTGTTCATCTGTCCACCGATTACGAGGTGCCATCTTTATTTTTTTTGTAGTGTCTTTTTTTTGTTTTGATTTACTCTATCTTTTTTTTCCTCTATCCTCCAGCCTCTTGGTGGTTGTTCAAGAGAATCAAATCATTAGGGAAACGAACCTCTGCCGTGATCCTCCCTCTGACGAGGGTCGTTCCCGCTTGTCTTTTGTGATCCTCCGACGTTTCTCCCCCGCGCGCCTCAGCCATGGCTAGCTAGTTGATGCTGCGGATGAATCCATAACTTCCATTCCAAGGGCATCCGCTCTGCCCGGCAGACGGTCCTGCTAGGGCCTTTTCTCTTTTTGTTATTCCGTCTACTACAGACTCGCTCCGATCGCTCGCTCGTCTCCTTCCGCCCGCTGAAGCCTTTCAGCGCCGGCCCTTCGTCTCCCTACCCGCCAGTCTCCCCCCCCGGAGACTTTCCCCTCGGATCGACGGCGGTTTTCGTTCAGTATGGCCGGCAATGGCTTTCAGAGTGCCCAGTTTCTGGCTCCTCCGGCCGTGAGTGCTTTGAGGCAGGAGGCCCGCGCCATCGACCCGAATTTCTCCCCTTCGATGCGCTCGTTATCCGACAACATGCAAGAAGAACGCGAGGATTTGAGGGAGGCGGCGGAACAGACTCTGAATGTGATCGTTGATCTGGATCTCGAGGGCCGCATCAAATGGGTGAGCCCCTCGTGGAAACAGGTTGTCGGCACCCCCGCTGAGTCGGTGGAAGGTCGAATGATCTCGGAACTCCTGGCCGGCAACAAGAACGTCTTCCAGGATGCCATCGAATCCTTGAAGGAGGACGACTCCCGCAGTCGTTTCATTCGTTTCGCCGTGCACATGGGTCCCGATTCGGTTCTGAAGTATTCCCCGGAGCCGCAACCTCTCGATCTGGACGCTTCGGGGACCGATGAAGCTGAAGGGTCGGAGGCTCAAGATGCGACACCGACGAAACCAGAGGAGCGCAACAACGATATCATAAACATGGAGGGACAAGGAATCATGGCTTTTGACCGGACTTCGAGTGGGATTGGCCATGTAAGTTTGAACAACCACAACGGATTTCGGATCTACATAGGGCCCGGAAGAACTGACCTTCTTGATACTCGAATAGACGATGTGGATGTTACGGCCCTTCACGCAGCCAAGGGAAGTTACGATCGATCTTCCTCCAATGCTCGTTGAATCGCTGGGTGTTGGAGCTGAAGTTCTCGCGAACTACCTGACGACGCTGGCTGAAGCGGCTGCCACCGAGCCCGACCCCTCAAGATATCCCGCCCCGGACCCCATCCTGTGTCGAATCTGTGAGCGTCAGATCACGCCCTGGTGGTTCGAAAAGCATTCGGATCTGTGTCTCCAAGAACACCGGGCCGAGATGGATGTCCAGATAGCGCAGGAGAACCTGAACGAGCACCGGCATGCGATTGTTAGGGTTCTGGATGCGTTGGAGGCCAGACAGGGAAGGCCGTTGATCTCCGGCGATGGGAATCCGCCCCCGCCAACGCAGCCAGAGTATAAAAGTTTGCCCATCGGCCCGTCTCCCGTGGCTTCGGCTCCGTCGTCCGGGTCGGTCTCCAACTCCAGCTCTGCTCCTGCCACTCCGCCGCGGTCCAGAGACCACTCAGCCTCGGGTATCGGACACGCCCGAGGTCGATCCTTCGCTGTGCGGCGACCCTTGTCGCGCGTGGTCGAACTCATTCTTGATCTATGCGACACGGCGCTGGAAATCAACATGCCAGTGATCAAGGAGACGCGGCCGGAGAACGGGGACGATTTTCGAACCATGTCTCCGCAGTCGGAGTCCCGCATCTCGCAGGTCATACAGTGGCAGTCTCCCAGTTCGAATACTCTTGAGCAGGAGCAAGGTCTGGCGGCGTTGTGCATGGACACGGAGCAGGTTTCGAGGGCGAAGGTGGATGCTGTGATTCGCCATCGAAGAATCGTCGAGTACGCGGAACGGATTCGCATCGAATACACTGTGCTGGTGGAAGAGTGTATTACGGCAGCTCTGAGCAAAGCCGAACGCATCGCCGCTGGTCAATTGAGCGATTCCGGCTCCTCCGACGATGAATCTTACAGGGACGACACGCCGGCTGCCGCCCCCAGCCCGAGATTGTCTTGCGAGATCGCCCCTCCGCCGCCGCCGCCTCCTATGTCCGCTCTCACGATGTCCATGCGTAACTCCCCGGATCGCTTTCAGTCTCCTCAGCCCTCCGAGGGGAAACCCACCTCCTCGGTGGCCGTGTCCACGGGGTCCAACAGCCCGATGGAATGTCCGACTCCCCGCTCTCACAAGAGTATGGCTGGTGTGCTGGGCACGTCCCAATCGTCCCGCCGAGCCCTTTCCTCACTGGATCCAGACGTGGGCGACTACAGTGACAGTAGCGTTCCGTCATCTGCTTTCCCCGGGGCCATGCGAACTGATTCCCCCTCGTCCGATCGCAGCCTCAAAAGACGGAGCCTGGTTCTTCCCGGGCTATCTAGCTCCCCTCATCGACAGCATTCTCCGGCCAGGGCCTCAGGACCGCACTCCCCTTTGCGCATGCCGAAACCTCGTCTGTCTAGCGGCGCCGATAGCTTACCGTCTCCGATCGTGTCTCCCTTGACAAATGCCGGGGAACTGGCCCACCATCACTTTCGCCATCATCGCCGACAATCTTCCGCTACCTCTTCGGACATGGCGCGGCCGCCAGTGTCGCCCCATTTGACCTCCGCTCGAGAGCTACAGCCACGCCCGGCACCGCCCTCCATTAAGGATTTCGAAATCATCAAGCCGATCAGCAAAGGCGCCTTCGGGAGTGTGTACTTGTCTAAGAAGAAGACCACTGGCGAATACTTTGCGATCAAGGTTTTGAAGAAAGCGGACATGGTTGCGAAGAATCAAGTTACCAATGTGAAGGCGGAGCGGGCAATTATGATGTGGCAGGGCGAGAGCGATTTCGTTGCTAAGCTGTACTGGACGTTCTCTAGCAAAGAATACCTCTATCTGGTGATGGAATATCTCAACGGGGGCGACTGTGCCTCCCTTGTCAAGGTTCTGGGTGGTCTCCCCGAGGACTGGGCGAAGAAGTACGTTGCCGAAATCGTCCTCGGGGTGGAGCATCTTCATGGAAGGGGAATTGTTCACCGTGATCTCAAGCCGGACAACTTCCTAATCGACCAAACGGGCCACCTCAAGCTCACCGATTTCGGTTTGTCTCGCATGGGTCTAGTCGGACGTCAAAAGCGCGTTCTCAAGAATCTGAACGAGCCGGCCCCTGACCTACTGCAGCAAGGGCCCTTTCCTCGCGCCACTTCGATTACGTCCTCCCGGTCTGCCTCTTTTGACTTCCAGGGTGGTAACGGTTCGCCGGGTTCGACGCCGCTGATCACCCCGGATGCTGCGAGCAGCATCCCTCAGCCTTCCTACTTCAACCTCAACCAAGGCGGCGGACTCAGTCGACAGACCTCGCGCCGAGCGTCTGGTTACCGCAGTGACAGCGGAGGCAGCGATAACTTGAATGCCATTTTTCAATCGCTGTCACTCAACGAAGGCAGCGAGACGGCAAGTTCTCTGCCGGTTCCTGTCCCCGGTCATTCTTCGAGCAGTGTAATGGAGGAAGAGGGCCAGAGCGAGCTGGGCGAATCCCCTCAGCTGTACCCGCTTCATTTAGCTCACAGCATGCCGGTTCCGCACGAGACACCCCTGCAACCGGGCATGATGCCGCCGCTGATGGCGCTTTTCGACCCTGAAGATCATAACCGACGTTTTGTCGGTACTCCCGATTATCTGGCGCCGGAGACGATCAACGGCGTGGGTCAGGACGAGATGAGCGACTGGTGGTCTTTGGGCTGCATGATGTTCGAGTTCCTGTTCGGATACCCGCCCTTCAATGCAGACACCCCGGACGAAGTATTTGACAACATCCTCCACCGCAGGATCAACTGGCCCGAGGATATCGAAGAACTGGCAACCCCAGAATCTATTGATCTTATGAATAAGCTGATGACGATCAATCCGCGTGAGCGAATTGGAGCGAACGTCGATGAAAAGTATCCCAATGGAGGCGCGGAAATTCGAAGCCACCCGTGGTTCTCGGACATCAACTGGGATACGCTCCTCGACGACAAGGCGGAGTTCGTTCCGAATCTAGAGAATCCTGAAGACACCGAGTACTTCGATGCCAGAGGAGCTACCCTCCAGGCCTTTACTGAGGAGCTTGAAGATGGCAGTTCTCCCCAGCAGCCAGCAACAACCGGACCCTACCCCGACAGACCCCACGATGCGCTGTTCAAAGTTCGCTCGCAGGTGAATTCCGTAAAGCGACCTCTGATGCCTCTACACATCCCGCCTCATGTGCGCGAATCACGTAGTCGACGACTTAGCGAACCCACCTTGGCGGACGATTTTGGCAATTTCGCCTTTAAGAACCTTCCCATGCTGGAAAAAGCCAATAAAGACGTGATCCAAAAACTGCGTCAGGAGGCAATGCAAGCTCAGCAACGTCATGTCACGCCTTCGGGAGCACCACAGCAGACCCAGACTCAAAATCCGCCGCAGACCCCCGTACAAGCACCGGCACCGGCACCAACACCCGGCCAGGCACAGGGCCCGCCACCTCCACCAGCGCCAGCAGCACCGTCATCTGGTCCGTCTTTGGAGGGCAGTCCTTTGCCCATGTCGTTGCAGCGAACGCTGTCGCATAATAAGGGCAACAACCGGCCATCGTCACCCTCCAGTCTGAGTCAGGCGAACTCATCCCCAAGCCGTCCGTCACAGCCTTCGTCTCCGCTCCTGGTGCAATTCAGCACCGGCCACCATAACCACGAGCGGAGAAAGACGTCGGGATCTTCTTCGGCTAACTCTCACCAATCTAGCGGGTCTTTCCAACCTGGTGCACCGGATCAAAACCGTATGGCGAGTCTGAAATACAGCTCCACGGCATCGTCTCCGATCAAAACCACCCGAACCACTCATTCGCCCGACAAGACGCCTTCCGGTCCCACGCGTCAAGGTAGCGTTCCTATCGGAAGAGCTCGATCGCAGACTATCGGCTCGCAAGATGGAGATTTATCGTCTTCTCTGGCAAAGGAATCGTACGTCGCGGGCCACTACAAACGCCACAGTCAGCTTGTCGATGTTTCGCCGTCATCCTCAGATAACGAGGATCCACGCACCAAGGCGCTGCTCAAAGTGCAACGGCAGCGTCAGGGCTCCCGGCGCCTTTCTCAGATCAACATACCTGAAAAGCCTTACTTCCGGCCGCTGGACGTGCTCATCTGCGAGGATCATCCGGTTTCGAGATTGGTTATGGAACGTTTGTTTGAGAAACTCCGCTGCCGTACTATCACGGCTCCCAACGGCGCAGAGGCCATGCGTTACGCACTAAGTGAAGTTCGGTTCGATATCATATTAACGGAGTACAAGCTACCTCAGGTCAATGGAGCCGATGTGGCACGTATGGTAAGGGAGACGCGAAGCGCCAACCGCCATACGCCCATCATCGCAGTCACCGGATATCTCAAGGACCTGCCCGAGACGCATCACTTTGACACTCTCGTCGAGAAACCGCCGACTTTGACCAAGTTCACGGAATTGCTGTGCAGATTCTGTCAGTGGAAACCTCCACCGAAAGATTGGACCCCCTCGCAGCCACTGCCCATTTCGCAGTCCTTGTTGCGTCACTCTGCTGCACCGACTGAGCATAGCCCTAGCTCGACCACGTCTTCTAGCTTCATGCCAATACTCTCAAGCTCGTATCGAGGATCTAGTCGCCAAGACTCCATTGGCAGCAGTTCCTTTGGCGATGTGGAATCTGTCAAGGCCGAGGATGCTCCGGTGACCTCAAGTCGCCAGACCGATGAATGGGCCCCCAACCAAGGCGGACTAGGCATTTCCGAAGAGGCAGTTGCGAGCCAGAAGGCCCCTGATCCGATTACAAAGCCTGACTCGAATCCCGCACCTTTGCCGCACTTAATACATGCGGTCTCCGCCCCGGCTGAAATGAATCCTTCTGCCGCGGACGCTCCCCGCAAACGGCGGTCCAGTGAATCCATCCGGGCCAAAAGAGAGTCCTTGGAGAAGAAGCGCCATGAGTGCGCAGAATCTGGCGATGATGAGGATGAGGAGTTTGGTGCTGCCCAGGCACGGGCGCAAAGTCCTCGACACCGGTCTCATCGCCCCGGCTCCAAATTGGGGATTGAAATGATGAGAACTAATAGCCGAGGAAGTGTGGTTAGTGGCAGCGAAGAGGTGCTCAAGAAAGAAAGAGAGGCACTTGAGAGAGCCAGAAGCGTGGGGTTGGGGGTCAGCGGCGATCAACTCGGCCCGTCCCCTCGTAGCATCATCAGACTAGAGGATCGATTCAAAGGGCTTCAAGTTCCCGAAGAAGCTGTCGCTGGGTCAGCCGACGAGGATGTTAGTCCGCGACATTCTCCTCGACCTCCCGATGACAAAGAGACGCCCACTGAATGCGAGAATGGAGCGAAGACGAGCACAGAAACCCCTCACAAAGGACAAATCACGCCTCCAATCGTGTTCAACGAAGTCGACGAGGACCTCGAGACCACACCGACTGATCCTAACACGCCATCCGTTAAGATCAAAGATTATGGCGACGCGGATATGAGTACCGATAGTGAAGTTATCCAAACTCCCGAATCTGAAGCTACACCTCGGCCAGCACACACGCCTTCGCTTGGTTTCGATGATGATACCACGCCACGCCAGTCGGGACGATAGAGCCAGCCACCGGTGACGGGACTTTTATTTTCTTTCAAAACTTGCTTGAAAAAAAAGGAAAAAGGAAAACAAAAGCAAGAGAACAAAAGTCAAAGAGATATATAGAGTGTTGCTTGCTGTCTTTGATATGATACGATATGAAGACTTGAGGAGTTGGTTTGCATTTTCTCTATGGAAACACTTCTTGTATCTTCCCTCTTCACCTTGCTGTTTGATAAACCCTACGCATCTTTGCATTTTCTGTATCAGTGACAGATCGATTGATTTTCTTCTCCCCTCAAACTCTGTATGCAATATTGCATCCTGTCAGAATATCTCCGCATTTGCTCTTCCCTCGTTCCGAAATTATTCTTTTTTTTTTTCCCCTTCAAGGTATTGTTCAACTAAGCGGGCGTTTGGGTGCAAAATGACATGAACATTTGTTATCATCCATCATCTCAACCTGGTCGTTTGAGTTTTTGCTTTTTGCTTTTTGCTTTTTGAGCTTTTCGTTCTTTTGTTTTCCTTTTCTCTCAGAGAATTCTTTTTCTTTTGTGTTCAACCTCAACCAACCCTTTTGTTCTTCGTCTTTGTCTCTTTTTCTATTCTTCACTAAGGAATGGATAGAATTGGCAGAGTGACTGATTGAATGAATGATCATTTGGTTCTTTTTATCCATCTCCCTCTCTCTCCATGTATGTACGAGATTATCAAAACTGTCTTTGGAAAAATACCAAAAAAAATATCATGGAAAAAAAAAAAGCAGGACTATTTATTTCATATTTCTCATTGTCTACTTTTCTTTTTATTCCCCCACTCTCTAAACGAATGAATCAAAAAAGAGGTAACTTGCTAGTGTGTTATGGGGAGGTTTTCCACAATGTTTGATTCTCTTCTGTTCATGGATGTTTAGTTGCGGAGTATATGATACTTTTTCTCCTTTTGTTACATCATTTAACTTTTTTTTCCTGCTAACGTGTTCATAACTGCTTTCTAAGGTTTGTAAAATATGAATATATGATATGATAAGTCGTGATGGAAATCAAGTTATCTGATGCAGGGTTACTGACTTAGCCATTGTGTTTATTGTCAATTCAATATCAAAGTCAAAGTATAAGTTGTACATACGTCCGTTCATATGATGAAATCAAAGACATTCGGTGAAGGGGAATTGACTTTCAATGTTGACCCGAAATCAACCATTAGACGAACTAGTTGGCTAGTTAGCTAGCTCTGCTAGTTACTACTCCGTAGACCAAAGTCTAATCAGAAATGAAACCATTATAACATCACATCCGAGGTCCGTGTCTCCAACGGAAGATGACGAAATAATGTCTAACTCCGTACGTATTACACGTAGAAAGCACACATGGGAAGAGCCGAGAGCTAAAAAGTGGCAAATAAGAATATCAAATGGACACGATCAGAAGATTGAAGTAATCAAAACCATTGGGAAGGCGATTAGTTGTATGGAGGTAAATGTATCTGTAAATGTTGAAATGAAACCGAACAAAAGCAATCAAACAATGCCGCCCATTGGTATGTAGTTTGTATGTACTTGGAAATCAAAATGTAACATGAATAGTAGGCTGATGGAACATCAAATCAGGTATCTGTGAAGTATCTGTCTATGTAGTGAGAGAGTGTAGGTTTTCTGTAGTCGATGTTGAAGGGGTTTTCTATGTTTCTTGTGTATGTTTGAGGGATTGTAGTTCTTCTACCGTTGCTGCTGCTCGGAATGGCGGCTTCTGCCGGAGGGCGAGGCCGTGCGGATCTGAGTCAAGGCGTCGTTTTGCTCGAATCGTCCCTGCTCGGCGAGATCTTCGTGCTCACGGCTGTTGAGACTGTTGCGGTGGCGGAAGAAACGGTTGCGGCTGATGGAGGAAGCGATGCTGTGTCCGCCCTGCGATTCGGTCGACCGGCGGCCTTCGGGGTGATTGGAGGGAACGCTGAGGTTGGAGTTGCCACGAGGTCGCGAGCGAGAGGATGAAGTGCGGCTACGACGCTCGGCCTCTTCTTCCTCTTCTTCCTGGATACGGCGCTCGGCATTCTCCCGGTTGGCAAAACGAACGACGTCGTCGACTCGCTGGGTGCGGTCTTCGAAGACGTCACCCATCACATCGCCCGAGGAGATGTCGCGCATACCCAGCGAGAAGTCGACATGCTTGCGGGATTGCATGGTGTCGCCGCGGTTTCGGGCAGCAGCGGTAGCAGCGCCTTTGCGGAGGATCGACGGATGGCGCAAGGCACCGGAGCTGTAAGGAGAGTTCTCGCTGACGTCTCCTCGTTCGCTCAAGGGCGTAGGCGGGGGACGACTGTCGTTGCTGGAAGCCATCTGGTTGCCCAGACCGGAGACATGGAGAGGAATGTCGACCCGGGCACCCTGGAGGTTCATGCGAGGGCCCTCGATACCAATCTCCTGCAAGGCAATCATAAGCATGCAGATGAACTTGTTGCGACGCTGCAGACGGAGACCTTCGTTCTGCCAGTTAGATTTGTAGAAAAAGACAACGTTGAGGGTCACGGAGAAATTGTCAGTCACTTCACGCATTTCGGTGAGAATGTTGGTTTGGAACTCGCGGCGTTCACTGCGGACGAATTCGAGAAGGCGCTGACGCAGAGCATCGATCTGTTCGAGGGTCGTGCCGTATTTAATGACAATGGGGATTGCCTCGGCGAGAGCTCCGGAACGGCGCTGGTTGAGAATGAAAAGGCCGTTGAGGTAGCTGTTGGGCGCTTGGACGACGTGACCCTGCATCTTCTTAAACTCGGTGTATAGGAGCGAGATTTGCTTAACGAAGTAGTCATCACCAAGACCGGCGTCACCGGCGTTACCATAAATCGTGACACGATCACCAACATCGAATGGGTGCTTGACGAAAACGAAGACGACCGATTGGAGGAATTCCTGGGCAGTAGCGGAAAAGAGCCACGACAAAGCAAGGACAGTGGATCCCGCAGAGGTGAGCACACCAGCGGCGGAGGTCGAAATGAGGGAAAGTAAAACGATGATGGCAATCACGACCACGAAGAACTCGAGAACATTGTCCAACCTCGACACGACCGAGTCAAGATCCTTCAGAGACGCGGTGATAGACTTGCGCTCACGTCCTATTTCAACACAGACAGCCTCCAGCTCATCCATGGAGATATCACCGTTCATATCCTTGTCGAACATAATGAATGCAGCATCGGCCTCGTCATTGTTGTCGAAAGCCTCCTTCAAGTCACCCGAGAAAACCGTGTCGAATCCATTGCGCACGAACGTGCGGTACAGGCGGCGGGCGAGAACCTGGCAGCCGGTTGTGGTCCGCAGCAGGGTCAACACGACCTGATAGGGGTGCGTGCTGTTGGTGGCTTTGCGGCCAGTGAAATCCGCCGCCACTGCGCCCGCCACGTCGCCCACCTTGTTCAAAGCACCCTTGGCAGCTCGCTGGGCCATGCCGGCAAACTGCAAGGGAGTCTTGATTCCGGAGTTATTTTTTTCCTCTCCGTTGTCGAACTCATCGTCCTCGTTCGCAAGCTTGGTCCGGGAGAAATCGTACAGTTTGGTCAAACTGCCAATCTGGAACTTGTTGATTTCAATGCGATCGGCGTAGGTCCGCGTGTGGAAGCTGATCGCAATCAGTTGGATGATGAACTTCTCGATGAGGTTCAGAATGACGAAAACGAAGATTGCAATGATGATAGTGTTGACGGTTTTCTCCCAGCTTCGAGTCCTCTTGTCGCCATCAACGTGATGACTTTTCATGGTAGGTAGAAAAGAGATTTCCACTCCGAGCCACCAGAGGAAGAGAGTGAAGTGAAGCTCCAATTGCTTCGCCAAATCGCGCCATTTCTTTGCATTGTTGGTGAAAACACTCGCAAGGATTCCCACGGGAATAGGAAGTAGTTTGGCTACAATCTTTAGGTAGAAACCAGTTAGTCATATGCCAATAAGTGTCCGGTTACAAGTGATATACGTACTCTTCCGGCCCACAATGTCAACCAAACGATTTCCAACCAGACAGAGAACCAGAGCAGCTGAACGCCTCCCACGTTGGCATCGGGGAAAGCCAGGGCACCGACCAACAACGGAATGAGCAGAATGACAACTAGAGGCACGATATACGTAAGATACCGAACGATAAAGCTAGATTCATGGATTTTCTTGATGAATTTGGCAAAGCTGGTGTTGGGGTTTTCCGGCGGGTTATAGACGGCAGCTTTCTCGTGCAATGGGTTGGTTGCCTCGTCGAATTCATCCACGTTTTGGGAACGACGCGAACGGGTTCGCGAGATGGAGTTAGTCTCTCCTCCACCTTCCGCTCCGTTCTCTTTTTCGTTCGCCTCGTCTCGAGTCGAGCGAGATGCCACACGCTCCGCCTCCAGAACCGCTAGATCATCTTCAAGGCGCATTGCTTGTTCCCGCGAGGCCGATGGGGATCGCAACGCAGTGATATCTAGATCATCATGGGTGGTATTCACGCGAAGGTGGCTTCCTTGGCCCTCATTGGACGGCTCATTGACGTAGGTGCCATCATCGGAAGGTTGGGTGTCGTCGGTCTTGTCCTTTCGCTTCTCATCGTGATATTTGGGAGCCGGAATCTCCTCCACGGGGGTTGACATGCTGGCACCAGGCCAGACAGCGCGTAATAAAAAAAATCGACGTAAAATTGATAAGGTGCAATTAAAGAGAGAGTAGCGGGGATGAATGCCAGAGCCCGAGGAAATTAAGAACTAAAAAGACTGATAATAATGGAGGTTGTAAAAAAAAGATATAGAATAAATGTAAAAGAATGAAGTTAAACGAGTGAAGTAGCAGGAAGAGGGGAAGAACGCGGGAGGGAGGAGAAGCCCCGAATTCTATAGAAATCAACTTTCTCCTAGGCCGTTGTGTAGCTGCTAGTCTCAGACGCCAACAAGGGCAGGAAGACAGACCAACACGAGTGGGGACCGGTTTAACCGATATCGAGTTTAGTTTATCAAGGGGGGCACACCAGGGCGGCTTAATCTGCGAGATAGCGTGTATGAATGACGAG